GTTACGAATTTTATTCATTTGCAATAACAGTGAAGAAGAACAAAATTAGAAAATACCAAATTTTGTCTATACCTATATAGGTAAATATTATCACCCTGCTACACAAAATGTTTTTGTCTTTTTATAAGAAAAATAGATTACTGTGTTATAAAAGGTGTCTTCAATTAACAAAACACATGCAATTCTGAAAGTTTTACGGAAAAAATCGGTTTTTGTAGAATTTATTTCTCCTTTTAATTTATCGGTTGGATTGAGTAATTAATAATTAAAAGTTGAAGTAACTCAATCTCTCCAAACGAGATTTTCTTGTTAAAAACAGAAGTGGGCGACTCATCTCTGAATTTTTATTTGTTAACTGATCGAAAATTACGAATAGGATAGAAATAGGCTTTCGTAAAGTAAATGTTGGAATTTTCTACACATGATGCATATTTACTAGATACAACGAATATTAATTTACATTTTCCAACCATTTTCATGAAGGGCTATAAATAAATTACGCTACAAATTGTTGACCTCTCCCCCCACATATCGGTACCTTAATGCGTAGTCTCACCCCTGTCCCTTTTAACTTTGCTACGTTTTGGGTTTTAATTAAAAAATATTTTATAATTTCCAATAATAATATCCAACTTTAAATAAGTTCTGGATCGTTACGCAATGCAAACAGAGACCTCTCCACCCACCACGTAACAGGACCGTAACGCCTTCATAACATTTCCAAAACAAAAGGCCAAAATTTAACGTTCAAACCCAGATCAAATAAGTGCCACACAAAATTCCATTGTCAAAATCACTTACATTCATATTTTACAACCGCTTTTCAAGCAGCAAAGCTTTATGGGAATAAGTTTCCCATTCTATCTTATGCGTTTGTTTACTGCGGCGCTGTCTTTATGGCACAACAACAAAAAATATCCCTTCGTGTCTCCCACTGGAATTCAACTGTTAACTTTCGAGTCAGTCGCAGCTGAGCTAAATACGACAAAAAAATAGAAAAGTCACGAGCACGTAGTGAAGTTCGTTTCTCTCGTTAAAGAACGACTGTTACTGTTGTGACCCTTGCAGATTTGAATTTGAATTTTCAGCACACCAAGCACGTACAATTAATTGTTGGCGTGAGCAAACAAAAAGTCGAAAAATAGACCTTTGCCAAGCTTTTCCGAAAACTTTTCTCATATTCTCGTTGTTCTAGGTACTGAGACCCACTAAGAGATGGTACACTAAATAAAAATTCTCTTGTTACACAAGGCAGATTGACATTATCAAACATAAGTGCTAGAAACCTAAATTGTCCAAAAAATTGATCTTTGATGTTTCAAATAAATCTAGGTATCTTTAGCATTATAATTCGTAACATACTTTGTGATTAATGGGTAATCAAAAAAATAATATCCGGTGCTTAAAATCTCTAAATCATTCATTCGCTGTATATATAATTTCGCAGTTTATTTATGGCGAACAGTAGGTCAATGAAGTGTGAGTTAATGCGATTCGGGGTTGAAATTTTCAGCATTCATATTAAATGTCTTTTTTTAAAAATTTTCATTAATTAAATTAACGACGTACAAGAAACAAACTCAAATAACAAAACCTAAACGAGTTAGATCGCAGCGTTATTAGATGCAGGCAGAGAAGTCGAGCAATTGTCATGAATTGTTTGCCAACAAATCCGAATGTCTTCTCTGATACAGTAAAAGCTCTTTATTCGCGGGGTATACGTTCCATAAATATGCCGCGAATACAGAAACCGTGAATATGGAATGGTAATTAGTATGGAATCATAGGGGATACGTTCTAAGGTTCCAAAATAAAACCAATATGTATCAAAATAAAATCAATTTATTCAGAAATTCGCAATTAAAATTAATCCTTATAATCAGCTTTAGGCAGGAGTTTAAAAAATTTAGCGATCTTTTCTTTTTTTGAATTTTGAAATTAGTCCACTCGGTTAGATCTTTTATAAAAGTCGCCTCGGCACGAGCCAATAGTACTCAAAAGATGCTGATACGTTGAAAAATAACACTGAATCCTTTTCTACTTAGTTAGATTTTTTCGGCACGTACCAACTGTACATAGTCAAAAGATTCTGATACATTAAGGGGATTCAGTAGTACACACGCCTTAGAGTAAAAACATGCTTATCGGTTCTAGATATCATGAGTTTAATATTTGGAACAGGAGTTTGAAATTTTGTAGTAAGATAGATAAAGCTTTGTTCTAAAGCTTGTCGAAGGCCATTATTAGTTTTTTAATTTATATTGAAAACACGTGTCCCACAAGAAGCATCAACTTTAAGCACTTGTAAAAGCTTTTAATGGCCATATTATTGAAAACCAAATCGTACCGAGTTACTGTGAAACTGTTACAATACAAAAAATCGCAGCGTTTAATCACAATGTTTAGAATAGAACCCCATGTTTTCGACAGATTTCACACTAGACACGAGCGGTCTATTGCGGTCAATCCCCTTAATAAATGACACCGAATCCTTTTCTGTTTACCAATTGAAACCGCGAATAATGAAATTTTTAACCACGAATACAGTAACTGGGTTGCAATTTTTTCACCCGCGAATATTGAAAACGCGAATAAGGAAATAGTGAATAAGGAACTTTTACTGTACCTACTTTATAAAAATCCTATTCAAACGTCAAGTGCGGCACTACAACAATCAACTAAACCATTAATTACGATGATAAAAAAAGTTCATTTATTTCAATATAATATATTTAATCAGGCACTTGGTAAACTAAAAATAACGTCAATGTTACTGTTTTTAGCTTCTGAAATTATGCTGCTGTTGTTGTTTATTAAAGAGAAACAGTTTCCCTGTTGTGTTGATCCATATTTGTTCAGACAAAAATGGGTAGCAATCTCGGCCAAAAAAAAAAAATTAGTAAATAATCTTTCTGTCGAGTCGGGCATAAATCATAGTCCCATGGGGAAATATGTGTACAAACACAAATTTATGTGACAGAGGCTTTATCAAAGCAGCTACTGGTTTGCTTTGTCACTGCATTCCTGCTAAACCGCTACACATTCATCACTACACATCAAACACAATGTATTATGGGTAAGGTATACAAGGCAGCTTCGGTCAACATTACGTCAACTGATTGCGGCTCATTAAAACATAGTCGTACGATTCAATAATTACATTTTGTTGTTTTATTATTGGTAGATTGGATTTGATATTAAGAGATATTTCTAAAAGAAGCAAATTACTACACAAATGTAACAAAAATACGTGAAAAGCCTAAAATGGTTTATATTTTATCAAGTTACGACAGTATGAAGTCATTTACAGATATTTCTTGCTATCTGATGTATTTCAATGTTATGCTTCATCATCATCATAGGGTCGTCAGTCCTAAGATTGGTTGGACACGAACCTCCACTCTTTCCTATTCTGAGCTAAACTTCGCATTTCCCTAAAACTAGAACAACCTACATCCTTAACTATTAGCGAACAGTAATCTAGCCTAGGTCTACCTCTACCCCTCCTAACTCCTGTTTCTGCCTCTAATATGTCTCTGACTAGACCTTCATGCCTGAGAAGGTGTCCTACCAACCTATCTCGTCTATTTCTTATTGACTTCCATAGAGTCCTCTGTTCTCATATTCTTTCTAATGCCTCTTCATTTCTAACCTTTTCTACCCACGTTATCCTCATCATTCGCCTATAACACCACGCACCCGTACAACGCCGCTCTCCAAACATACACCTTTAACAATCTTTTTCGAATTTCTAAATTAACCGTTCGCGAGCATAGAAGTGACACGACCCTGCGCTATCCTCTGCTTTATATCCCTGCTACTCCTTCCGTCCTGACTTATCTGACTTCCTAGATATCTAAAATCAGCCACTTCTTCTAATTTTTCGTCTCCTATCTTTATTTTCGCTCTTTCCGTACTTTTTCTTCCCTTGCATACCAGTATTTTAGTTTTACTTGTATTTATTTTCATATAGTACTGATCTGTCAGTACCGCTTCCATTTAAAGCTATCTCTAGGTCCTCCTTGCTAGATGCTAATACTGCTATATCATCTGCAAATCTAAGCATACTAATTTTTTGCCCCTGTATCTATATCTATCCCAACAGTTGTACTTTCTTTAATGATGTTGATGGCGTCTTCGATGTATAGATTAAAAAGTAGCGGTGACAGTGTGCATCCCTGTCTGACTCCCTTCCTAATATTTACTTCTCTGCGTTGCATCCCTAGCTCTATAATTGCCTGTTGCTCTTTATACAAACTAATAAGTATCACTCTTCTGTCATAACTAACTCATCCCTACGTTTTTAAGTATATTTAGCATCTTGTCCCATTTAACATTGTCAAAAGCTTTTTCTAAATCTACAAATCCTACGCACGCACTCTTTCCTTTTTCTATCGTTTTCTCTATTGTTACCCGTAAAGCTAGAATGGCCTCCCGCGTTCCTCTATTATGCTTATCTAGTATTTAACAATGCACTGCATAGTAACTAATGAGACTATAAAAATTTGCATTTTTCATTCCCCCGCACTAATTTTTTATTTACGGGGATGAAGTCCTTAGACCTCGCAATAGGCCTCCACGTTTGCTAACCTCCCCGAGCGACCATTCCATCACCTGGACATTTACTATTTTCATTTTTAGTCGCTACCTTCCTCGCCTCCGCTTCACCGCTCTCACTTTTTATCAATAGGGATAAAGTCCTTAGACCTCCTCCCTACCTCCCCCCTCCAACTCCATCCTAGCGACGACCCCACCACTAGATAGTTACCCCAAAAAGATTAAATTTGCCTAAGTGTAATAAATATACTGTATTATTAATTAATAAATAAAATTTGATAATTTAATTAAATGAATCGAAACAACTATATTACATTTTCCCTAATAAACAGAAAAAACAAAAACCTTTGAACGTCATTATTTTTGGTTCTATTTTATTTCCTCAACCTGGCATGAGCAGTCTATCTTTTTGATATTATTAGTGGTCTTTTTTTACAGGTACCTGCTGTTTCTACGATCAATAACAATCGTTTGAAAATCTACTTTAAAACGAAAGAAGAAGATAAGGAAGCCAGTCTAATCAATGAAAAAGTCATACTTTGTACAATAACACAGTAATGGTATTTTTGAAGGAGGGCATTAAAAAAGGAATCCAGAATGCAGTTCGTATTACTTGAAGCACTTTACAAAAGACACAAAACAGCGACAAAAACAAAACAGCAACGCTGATCAAGCTTGTTACAAGGAAGAAATCTCTCGGAAGCGAATAAGGTCTTTCGTTTACAGCAATTTAGGTGAACAAGGTAAATATGTACATACTATCTTGCTTAAAAGTTTTTCTTAAGTGTTTATGAAGAAGGAATATTGTATCATCGATTTGTGTTGTGTGAGAGAATGTTGCATTACAGTCGAATATAGGCCAAGAGCAGTTGCTGATTATGGTTAATACGTTGCTTAAGCATGAATTATAATTGAGTGATTTCGGAGTATTGACTAATTGTAGTACTGAGTGGTTATTACCAATAACGATCAGCTCCAGAATTCTAAGTTGAATATTTGCATATAATTATATTATTGAAACCCATTAGAAGGAGTATTCACATTAAGAAGGGAGTTCTAAAATTAACGTCATTCTTTGTTTAAATATATAATAAGCACGGAAACTAAAGATGATATCTGTTGCAGTTAGTAGACAACAGTCTCAAGGTATTTATGATTATTCTAAATTTTAAACAATCAGTTTAAGCTGGGCCCATTTTCACCTTTAAGAGAAAGTAGTCCATTTAATGTCTATTTCGTTATTATCACATGGAAATTATATTTGATTCTTTTTATATAATTCAGAACTGATTTTCATACGGGAAACATATACATGACACTGTCTTTTTGTCATTTTATAGATACACAATTTCAAAATTCCTTATCGTTTAGTGCCGCTGAACATGTTACGCGAGGCCAAAGGTCACGTTAAACGAAAATCTCGTTAACGGTCTTTGACCAAAAAAATTATTATTGATTATCAAATTTGTAACCTAAGAAATTGCCTACAAAAAAAAACGTAACTTTTCATTTTTCGTAAGACCACTAAAAAATCTTTCATTAACGAAAGCAATTATTTATCTCCTTCTTTCCTAATCATCTTTTTATTTATCCGTGTCCTGTATTTCCGTAATTTCTGTCGAAAAACAACTGAAAGAAACTGTAACATCATTATCGTCACAACGTCGTTATCAGTGCAAAAAATGGCCCTATCGTGAGTTAATATTCGCATTTCTCTATAATACATCTAACTTAATATTTAATCTAATCTAAGTTCTCCCGTGCCCATCTTTTCTTTCTTACTTGTATTTCTATGTATATACTGTAATATGTTTCTATTAATTAAAATAAGTAATTGTATCGTAGTTGCGAGCGGGTCGCTTGGGGTAGGAGAGGTTTACCATTAAAACAGGGTTTTAATCATTAACCTAACGCCAGTCTGTGTTATATCCGATAATTTCCGAACCATATGGACCAGTGGATCACCTCTTCGTCCTGGCTTCACTTACTCCTCTTGGCGGATTTCACGTCCTCTCTCTCTTTCCTCATATACCTTTGCTCTTTGTAGGACTCCACATAGTGTTTACTTTCGTTATCGTCACATAAAACTTTTGGAATTTTGTCTCGGCCTACATTTTGGTCGCGTGTCCTTGAATCGCTTCCTTGTAGCGGTTTCGTGTTTTGCATCTATCCAATATATACCGGAACTACAACAAATACAATTGTCTACGATAGTTCCGCGTTTTGAAGGTTACTCAGACTCAATTTAGGAAAATTAAAATTATAATTTTGGAAATTACGAACACTATGTTACAGGCAGGTCAAAACCCATGCATGGAATGCTCTGATCCGTATACCTACTGGTCCACCCTGAATATTAACTTAATCCACTTAAACTTAACAATTTTAAACCTTAACAAGCATTTTATTTCGCTTAACCCAAAACGATTTACTTAACAAAGAATTGTAGGCTTTTTCTCGCGTCTAGGGGTTGTTTAATAAAAGGCTCCGGGTGATTTGATAAATATATAATAATATTAATAATGAAGATAAAAGAACAACGAACATCCAACATGACAACGAATAACAGAACTAAATATCAGGAACACTTATTTACAATGTATCTTGTCTTCAAATGTACACGTCTTAATTAATAGCCAAAAATACGTCTTTCGTCTTTGATTTGGCAAAAATGCTTCGTCTAAATAAAATGTACCGTCCTACAGCAACGTTTTCATACCTTGATCGTCTTTTACTCTCTACCCTCTACTCTCTTCTCTGGTGGTCTCTCACGTACCCCAACATGTACGCATAGGTAAAAATAAATTATCGATCTACCACCACCTAACTGGCATCGCTCTTGCACCTGGGCAAACAATTGTACATATTATAATAATTCAAGTCCTACAGAATTATGCGGAGCTTTGATTTAATGATGCAGAAATACCTATCTCCAAATCGACAGCTTTTGCCATTTACCATTTTTTTGGTAAATTGTTTACCAAAGACAATTTTACTTCCTACCTAGGTGCGTGACATCTATAAATATTATCATGGAACTCAAAGCTTATTGGCTCATATGGAAATTAAAATGTAGAACGATGAGGTTTAGTCGTGACCGTGCAGAAGGTTCTCAATCGTCATATCTCACCTTTTCTTTACTGACTTTCATAGCTCCCTTTTCATATTTTATCCACGGTATTTTCATTATCCGCCTCCACCACATCTCAAACACTTTTAGCTTTTTCCTTTCCCGCCACTTTTAACAATCTTTTCCCAACGTCCATTTGTCGGAAAATATCCAATAAACTTATCGTATGAAATAAATTGATCAAAGACCTTATGCCGGCTCAGTACGAACGCGGACTAGTATCACGCCTCAATACTTGATTGCACCACCTTAGTGTATAAATAGCATCGTAAGAATTCGGCATGAGTTGTACTTAAGAACGGCGATCGCAAGCACCGAAGTGATTTCCTCTTGTTTTCTTCACCGCTTTTCCTTCTCGCGTATATATTTTCAGAACCTACCTACAATTTACAATGAAGCGAATTGGGATAAAATCAAGTTGAACGTTTATTTTAATCAAAAGCTGCGCGTTTCTTTACCGAAGGAATGATTGAACTTGACGTGTTTTAAAAATAGACTAGAAGCTTTTCGCCAAAAATAAATTTTTTTACTCCAACTATTGCAGCTTATCCTTATATGAATGTGTGAAACTGGCCTTTTTGTTCTTTTTTTAGCCAATTGCCAACGTTGAGTTGGGATATCGTTCTTTGATACAGTGAATAACGGGAACAGAAAGCTCGAGAGATATGAGGTTTTTAATTGGAACGCGGCATCTGGAAGAGAAAAAGTAATTTTCTTTTCGGATCCATAGCCTTCAGAAGTAATTGCTTTAGGGAAACTGACTAACTTTCATTAATTTCCGAATTCTCTCAATGGGAGAGATGTATATGGGGGAGGGGCGAATATTTTGCCATTTTGACTTATCCTGCTAATAAAAGAAGCAATTTAAAATGTCTTTTTTGGAAATAAGTTTTATCTTTTCATAAGTAACATTTTTTCGTCTTCCTTCAGCCCAAATACTTGTTTGTACTGTGTAAAGATATCTTTTTAAGAATTTTTTATTGCAAAACTAGGGTTCTTTATCATTGAAAATAATTAATTTACCAATCCAATTATTAGAAGAGACGAATTAGGGTTTCTAACTTAATCCCGTAGTGTTCACAAGAACCTGATAGCAAAGTATCTATGAATGTTTATAAAAAATAATAGAACTCGTGGTTTCCACAATGTTCTAGTTTTACCACGACAATTAGAGCGTTACACTCACTTCAAATAATATTCCTGATGTTGATGGAAGACTTCTGTTGTTTGTCTTTAGGTTAATAAATTTTGAAAAAACTTAAAATAAAATTACATATTTCTTTGTCAGTATTTTTTCTTTTTATGTTGAACGAGATAACGTATGGAAAAGGCTTTTGCGGACAACGAATTTTCCTATATACGGCCGTTTGATGATTGTATGTAATAGAATATCCCTAGGCTAGGCTCTCAAATCGTCATTAGTTCGTTTACGGTAATTTTCATATAGAAAAAGACTAGTTACAGCCATTTGAAATTTGAAAAAATAGCTTGCAATTATTTTTCTTTTGCATATTCCTCAAAATTTTTACTCAAACTATTAGTATGCATTGTATTTTTGGATGGATAATTAATATAAACTACAATGGAACAAAATTATAGTCCATGATTACTTGTAATCATACGATTAATTCATTTATCTTATTATTATCATGTGTGCTGTCACCTACACTACGTACTGAGAGCCATTTTTGAAATTTGTAATATATAAAAATACAATACTGACTAATAGTTTGATTAAAAATTTTGAGGATTATGCAAAAGAAAAAAATAATTGCAAACTATTTTTTCAAATTTCAAAATTTAGTAATTTTTAAATGGCTAGTCTTTTTGTAAAGATAATCATACTTTGCTTTTGTTAAGCTCAAAGACTCAACTTTGAGAATATGAAACGGTTTTTTGGAAAAAATTGCGTAAATTATGTGTAAATTCAATTTAAAACAAAAAAGAATTTTTCCTATGCTAATTAAATGGGAAACTAAAATAAAAATAGCGACCCCTTAGATTTGAGCTATAGGGCTCATGTTTGGCGAGGATTTTTTTTACATCAAA